AAAAGTTGACCTCACTCGATAGAGCACAGGAAAGGACTTTCTGAATAGCATCTAATCAGGAAGCAATGCCAACTACTGATGAAAAGGAAAGGATGAAACTAATTTAAAAGCGGTAGAGGCAATAGTATGAAGAGACAGCCCCCAAAGTGAAATAGTCTTTGCTAGCTATATTTCTAACAGGGCTGATATCTAGAGAGAACTAAAAAAATAAATAAATAAATGTTCTGGTTTCCTTACTGTTGCTGTGGAAAAAAAACAAAACAAAACATTCTAACCAAAAGCAACTTAAGGGAGAAAAGTTTGTTTCTACTTATAGGTTATAGCACATCAGAGGGAAATCTGGGCAGACTTGAACTCATCGGAGTGCCACTTGCTGGCCGGCCCCCAGTCTTATGCTTAGCTAAGTCCTTATATAGCCCAGGACCACAGTCTAGTGACGGTACCCCCCACAGTGTGCAGGGTCCTCTACAGACAAACCCACAGGTTAATTTGATCTAGGTGATTCCTCAATTGCTTTCTTTAATGACTCTAAGCTATGTGATGTTGACAAAGCCAACTACAAGAAATTAACCACGCAACCAATCAAAAAAAGGAATAATGAGTAATTCTCAGAAGATGGAATCTAAAACAGCCAATAGACATACAAAAACATTTTTACTCTCTCTAGATAGCAAAGAAGTTGAGATTGAAAATCCTTTGCAATTCCATCTGACTCCAGCAAGAATAGCAGCCATTAAAAGGAGGAGGAGGAGGAGGAGGAGGAGGAGGAGGAGGAGGAGGAGGAGGAGGAGGAGATGAACTGCAGAGATGGCTCAGTGGCCATTCCAGAGGACCCAAGTTTGTTTCTCAGCACCCATGTGGGCAACATACAACTGCCTATAACTCCATCTCCAGGAGACCTGATGCCTTCTGGTGTCCGTGGGCATGGTCACTAATTGTGGCATGCATACACATACACATCAATTCTTTTAAAGAATAAAAATTGTTTTTAAAAAGTAAGTGTTGGTGAAGATAGGGACAAAGGTAACCATTAGGCAATGCTGGAGAATGTGAGAAACTGGTTCGGTCATTATGAAAGTCATTGTGGAAGTTCCTCAACCTAAAGACCTATTATGGGATGTAGTTCTGTCACCTCTGGGGACTCCTAGTTAACACATCACAGACATACAGTACTAATAGTAGCTTAGTCACAGAGCCAACCCAAGTGTCCAACAACAGAGGAACGGAAGTGGTCTGTACACATAGTGGATATTTTCAGCTATACAGAAGAATGAAATATCTTTCAGAAAGGTGTTGTAACTGGAGATAATCGCATTAAGTCAGATGTGAGAGAAGGTTTTCTCCCCTTTATGGATGAGCTCTTGTATCTATGACGTGATGGTAGAAGTGAGGCTGTCTGGAGGAACAATCTAATGGGAGAGGAGAAAGAGTGGTAGGAGCAGGGATGTTCTCGGGTGGTGCATATTGCATGAAAATACTTTTATGTAGGACAATTTGATGAATACACATGAGGAAGATATGTTTAAATAATACGTAGGAAAAAATGGAATCCACTCATGAGTAACTCAGTCAACATTCCAGTATTTCAGGTTAGGTTCTGCCCATGAAGAGGCTGTGGGTGGAGTTTCAGTGTTTTAGGGAAGGAGGGCAGTCAAACAAAAGGTGCAGAGGGAGTTTAGATATGGTGTGACCCTGCTTGGGCAACCACCCCTGACTGCTGATTTACTTTGGAGATAAGTTGCCTCAGACCGGCTTGCTCGCCGTTGGATATGGGCCAATCTGGAAGAGCTTCAAGAGACGATGTTTCTTCAGCGGAGGGAAACCCCGAACCATCTGAGGTGCTGACTGAGGCCTGGTAGCAGTTACCGCAGCTGTGGCCACAGGGTTCATCCATTGGCAGAGTTCTAAACTGATAACGAGAAGCCTCGGAAATGGCTCTCAATCATTTTAGAAATAAAATTATGTTTTCTATGACATCTTGCTATGACAAAAGGGATCCCTTTGCCAACATTTAAAGAGTGGTATATTTTTTTATTCATTCCTCCAAAGTGTTTATTAACTAGAATTCTGCCCCCAGGAAACACTATCTCCTTTGTCTAGTTTGTTTGTACAACTATTCGTGTAAGTATGGACTTGGTTTTATTCTGTTCTAGGAGCTATGGTCTCACTACAAATATCTTCTAACCATGTGGATTCCAGCTCCGGCCACTGAGGAGCTCCTGTGAAGGAGACCCCAGTTACTCTGTGACCTCTTTGTACTGCATACATCACAAGGTGTTCCCCGCTCAGCTTGTGTTTTTCCCAGCCCCACCTCTGGGATCAACTATTTTACAAGGAACCTGGTCCATTTGTCTGAAACCGAGATCTAGGGCTTGGTGTTTATTGTCAAGATGACTGAAAACAACTATGATGTTGTTATTCCTAGAAGCAAATCCTGAATGTCATGTAATGGTCACTGGTAACATTGCCTCAGAGTCTTTATAGAACCGATTCGTTCAATCTAGGATCCAAACAGGGTTCCCAGTTTTTCTTGTAGTTGATTTGAACATATTGAATATTTGAACGTATTGTTTTTGTCTGCATTCCTCCCTCCCCCACTTTGCATTTGTGAATTCGTCTGGTCGCATCCTAATCACGTCACGGTATCATTGAACACATTTTCTACTCCCCCTTTGTGTGTGCGTGTGCTGGTGGGTGGCTGAGGGCTGCACCAGGGCTAGATGAGCACTCTACCACTGAACTACACCTCCAGCACCCAGGATGGTTGTTTAGCAGTAAGTCTTTATATAGGAGCCACATAATCACCTGTTTGCTGGGCTACACAGTGGGCTCAAATGTTTTTGGCTTGATGCATCTAACACAAAAATTTTACACTGATCACCATATGGTTCTAGGAGCCACTGAGTTATTGCAAAATTAGAAAATTATATCATTCTTTTATTTATATTATTATAAAGAAGATCATTAAGCCACCTTGGAATAGGATTTGTATAGGTAGGAAAGGCTTTAGTCTATTTTTTACTTGTATTCTAGCTTGATTCTCACCATAGCAACCTCTTGAAATGGGCAGGCTTTTTCTCCATATGTCAATACAACCTCATAACATTTTAAAGGTTTTTCTTTATTTTATGTGTATAAATGTTTTGCCAGCATATATGTATGTGTACCGTGTGCATGCCTCGTGCTCTCAGAGGTCCAAAGAGGGTGTGAATCCTATGGAACTAGAGCTAAGGATGGTTGTGAACCATCATGTGGGTGCTGGGTCCTGGATCTGAGTCCTCTCAGTCACTGGGCCATCTCTCCTGCACCATGATCTCAGAATTGTAAACATTTAGTCTACTCCTTGTAAGTTGTTATTTTTTTTCTCCCTTTGACACAGGGTGTCAATATTTAGCTCTAAGTACTCTAGAACTCATGTTTAAACTGAGCTGGTTTAGAACACGCAGAGATCCCCTTCCCTCAGCTTCTGCAATGCTGTGGCAGGTGTCTGCCTGGCTGTTATCATCCCCTGTAGGATCCTTGTTAAGTCAGCTCTTCTGCTGTGACCCCGGTCCTCTGGCTGCCCTGTTTTCAGGGAAGTCTAGACACGGTAGGATATGATTATCTCCCCAGCCCTGCAATCAGCCGTTTTTCTATGAGGTACTGGTTCTTTTAGGAGAAAACAGTTTTATTTTAGCTCAGTGTGGTTAGGTGAGTATCTCATTATAGTTTTCCTTTAAAAAAAAAAAAGAAGAAAAACTGTGTCATGTTGTAATTTTGTGTTCTTAGGAAAGCCAATCCCTTAGAACTCTTAACTCATGGAACCCACCCCAATTCTATACTTAACTGCATTTCCCCTGCCTCGTGGATTCAAATTCAATATGTCAATTGGTTTTCATCCTCCAAGTTAGAATTCCACTTTCCCTTTTGATTTTGCCAAATTCTTTTGTTTTACTTGGCTCCAACAAAAATGATTTTAGATTGTTTCTCACCATGTGACTTTTACTCAGAAGAATCGAACAAGTTCATGTCAAAGAAAGAAACACCATGATAGGGGGCATGGATGTGGGAGAGAGAATCCTCAGATAACCAAAATGAAATAAAAGGAACAGACACTATGTTTCTTGGTGGGCAGGACCCTGACCCTTGGTGTCATCACAGGCAGAGGTGGTGTTCAGGTCCCTGCGAGTCTGCCCTGTTGTGAAGCTTCATGTCTTACTAGTTAATCCACATTTGGAGACTTATAAGGTATAAGTTTCTATGGTACGTCTTATTGAGAATTATAAGCCAAACCTGCGTCCCTCACCACAGGATGATACCACTACGCTAAACGTCCTATATGTATAAGTAACCATTGTCTGGATCTTGATGCCAGTGTGTTCCATGTCTTGGTTCTGTTTCTTTTCATTTTCCTTTGGGTCTTCTCTTTCTGGTAACCTTATTGACCAGGCTGAGTCATCTGTAGCTTTCTTTGTCTCCATGCCTGACTGTTCCTCTTAGAGGCTGCAGTGTCTCGAGGGGTCTTTTTCTTCTTTTGGGGAGGTGGGGAAGAATAGGACGGTCCTTGGACATGACTGTATGTAAACGTGTGTGGGCAATACACAATAAATTGTCTACAGAACTGGAACATGAACCTAGGATGATGTGTGTGCTAGGCAAGTGCTCCACCATTAGCTGGTTACAACTCTGTAAATACTTTTTTATCGTGTGTTAGGGACTTCTTGATAAATTGTTCAGGGTGGCCTTAAACTCGTTCTGTAGTCCAAACAGCAGAAATGTCCAGTCCTTCAGCTTTCGTCTCTAGCGGACTAGCTGAATTCACAAGCCCTGTGCTACCAGGCCCTGATAAATGGGTACTTTTTGCAAGGCAAGTGCCCAGTGCTTTGGGTGCACACACCCTTCCATCTCTATTTTTCTTTTTTTGGTAGGTAGTCCCCTCTGAGGCCCGGAACCTTCGCTCGACAATTAGACTGTCCAGGGAAGTTTTAGGCGGTGATACCTTCCACAAACTAACCGCCAGATAAGAGCGTTGAGAAGCAAGCAGGGCGGGCCCTGCGAGGTAAAGGGCGTGGCCCGGCCGGGAGATTGACACCCGGTCCCTGCAGGATCCTTGCCTGCGAGTCGCTTGTAGCTTCACCCCCGCGCGGTCTCTCTCTCTTTCTCTTTCCTGCCAGGTCCTGCTCAGCGGTGTCTGTCTCCGCCTCCGCGGTCTCAGTCCGCCTCTTCCCTGCCTCCATCGCCCCAGCCCTGCTGCAGGCCCCCTTCCGAGACTCCACGGAGAGCCCGGAGAGACGCTGGAGCCGGTGAGCTGGGGTGAGGGTCACCCCGAATGTGGCCCGGGACTGTGGGGACCTGCGTCAGCCTGAATCAGCTGGGACCTCACAGCCAGAGAGTGTTCTGGGCCGTTCTATTTTTGTTATCTTCCATCCGCAGCCAAACTTAAGCAGTAGTTTAGAATCGAGAAAACGAAGCGGGAACCGAGCCTAGGAAAAGGCTTCTTAGGACAGAGGAAGTTGTGGACGGGCACAAAGGTCCTGGCGTGGGAATTTTGAGACTAGGTTTGCAAACAAAGTGGCCTCACCAAAGTTTTTCTCCTCAGTCAAGGTTTCAGAAGTCGTGCTACCTTGTACCCTCTCTCTGAGAGAGAGAGCGGAGAGGACTGTGTTGGACAGCGGGAGTATAGAACTGCAATTAATTCTTCGAATTCTCTGCTAAAGCAAACAATTCCAAAGCAGACCTGTACGTGATTCTTCTCAGCACACAGTTTAGGAGAACCGTTTAGGTGTCAATGCCAGGCCACTATGTTACCGCTGTCATCAATATTATTAGCATACTGATAATGAATGAAAATTAATGACTACTTAATTGTGGTGACGGCAGAACCAAGAGTGAATTCTGAAAAGGTCAACATTCATAATTAAAGACATCTATTTGTATAGTGCCTTAAAGTGTACAAAACACTCCCGAGTGCCCCTCATAAGTATGCATTATTCACCTTTAACAAATGAGAGCCAGTCACGTGCCTTACTTTTATTTTATTTATTAAAAATTTCTGCCTCCTCTCATCCCCCCATTTCTCTCCCACTCCCCCTCCCTCTCCAGTCCTAAGAGAAGTCAGGGTGCCCTGCCCTGTGGGAAGTCCAAGACCCTACCCCCTCTATCCAGGTCTAAGAAGGAGTGCATCCAAGCAGACTAGGCTCCCAAAAAGCCAGTGCATGCAGTAGATTCATTATCTTTGGCTTCTCAGTCCACCCTCATTGTCAGCCACATTCAGAGAGTCTGGTTTGATCACATGCTCGTTCAGTCCCAGTCCAGCTGGTCTTGGTGAGCTCCCATTAGATAAGTCACACCGTCTCCGTGGGTGGATGCACACCTCGTGGTCCTGACTTCCTTGCTCATGTTCTCCCTCCTTCTGCTCTTCATCTGGGCCTTGGGAGCTCAGTCCAGTGCTCCAGTGTGGGTCTCTGTCTCTATCTCCATCCATCGCCAGATGAAGGTTCTATGGTGATATGCAAGATATTCATCAGTGTGGCTATGGGAGAAGGCCAGTTCAGGCACCTTCTCCTCAGCTGTCCAAGGAACTAGCTGGGGAAATCCCCTTGGACACCTGGGAACCGCTCTAGGGCCAAGTCCTTGCCAACCGTAAAATGGCTCCCTTAGTTAAGATATCTTCTTCCCAAAAAAAAAAAAAAAAAAAAAAAAAAAAAGATATCTTCTTCCCTGCTCCCATATCCGCCCTTCCTCCATCTCAACCATCCCATTCGCCCAAGCTCTCCCCAGTCCTCCCCTTCTCCCTTCTCTCTCCCCATCTCCCCTTCCTCCCAACTCCCACCCCCCGTGCTCCCAAATTTTGCCTGGCGATCTTGTCTACTTCCAATATCCAGGAGGATAAATATATGCTTTTCTTTGGGTTCACCTTCTTATTTAGCTTCTCTAGGATCTCACGTGCCTTACTCTTGAGCTGGGGCATGACAATCACAAGTTCAAGACCAGCCGAGGCGCTAAGAGGAGGTGTTGCAATTGATAGAGTAATGCAATTCTTAAAGATGTGCCTTTGTACGGGGAACACCACTATTAACGTGATTTTATTGTCGTGAGAATATCATCGGTGTCTATGCACATCTGTACAGTGTAGACTACGGCATGGCTGGGCTATCTGGAATATGCTGCCTGCTGACTTAGCGTGCTGTTTCACAGTGGAAGTTAGGTAATTAGGTATGTGCTCTAATAATGACAGAAGGTGTAATATAATGAATGTTCAAGCCAGCAAAGTAGATTATTGTCGTTTCAAGTTTTATGAACTGTGCCCAATTGTGTTATGTTTTTATATGACTGGCATCACCACAGATGTGAGTAGTGGTGCCAGAGCGGTGAGTGACTAAGATGTCTCTAGGCAATAGGAATTTTTCAACACTTATAATCTTGTGGGATTTGTAGGGTGAAAGGATCAAAGAAAAACACCTTGCACCTGACTAGACCTGAGACTTGGGCCAACAAAAAACACCTGAGTTGACCCCAAGACAACAGCTTGAAATCACACTAATCCTTGAGCTTGCCCTGAGTGAGGCTGAGGAATCCCACCAATCCCTGAGATTGCCCCAGAATCAGACCCCAAAAATCCACCAATCCCTAGCCACCCTTGAAAGCTCCACCCTTCCACCCTCACCCCCCAAAACCTACATAAAGTCTGTGCCCTGTTCAGTTTGCTGCTGTTTCTCACCAGAGGTAGCCACCCTCCTGAAAGCTTCCTTCCCAATAAATCTCTTGGGTGAGGTTTGTCGTGAGACACTTTTGCTGGAGCCCAGCTGTAACGACTTTCCCCAGAGCAGAGCAGCACTGTTTAACACTTGCCGGGAAGAGTTCCCCTGGTGGAGCGGAGTTGTTACACTCTGGAGTTCTAAGCAGAACTGTAACAGCTTCACCGGGGAAACCCTCCCTTGCAGTTGCAGAGTTGTTACACTTGCGCTGGGGAAACCATAGGACTGTAGGCTCCTATGCTTATAGTGACTTTGTGGTTTAGTGACTTTCTTGGTTCCTGACTGCCTGACTTAACTTTTCATCGAGCTGCAATAGTTACAGGAACCCCCCCCCCCCCACACACACATATACAGTCTATTATTACATTTTATATAGTGCCTGACTACAGTCAGATATCAGTTTCAGGACTCGGGAATAATACGCCCTGTTTGCCACGGTGGCACACACCTGGAATCCTAACACTCAGGAGGCTGAGGCTCAACGATAGCAGGTTCAAGGCCAATCTGGGCTTTACAGTGAGACATTGTTTCATTTTTTAAACTATGTAATGACTTATAACTGAAAAATGTTATAAAAACTGCCATATATTGTGATCCTACTGTGCAATAGGCCTTGTGACAGCTACTTAAGGATTTTTAATTCTTCTTATGTAGAATTTAATTCATTTTATAGATGAGGATCCCAGAGCAATAGATAAGTGAAATATATGTCTGAGAACCTGTAGTGGTCTAAGCCAAACCTAAGTTTTGCCAGCAGTGTGACTCAGGATAGAGACGGATGTAGAATAAAGCCCATTGGTGCACAGAAGGAGAGAGCCTGGATGGGGAGCACACGCATGCTCTCACACCATGCAGACAAGACGGTCCACATAGTCTTCTGCTTATACTGCTGCAGCCCCAAGTCTGGAAGGAAGAACAGCTTTTCTTCTGACTCCAAGGCCACTCCCTCCTCTTTTCTCACAATAGTGAGTTCCGGTTCTGTCAATTTAGTGACTGATTGAGTCATTCAGAGGTGTTGGGAGTTTCTCTTGTTTGGCTCGAAGGCGGTAGATGACCTGACACAGTACAACATTACCCCATAGCTCATTACCCAGAAGCTGCCTGAGAGGCTGGTCTAAACTCACAATGCCATTCCCACCAGAAACTCTACAGTGGATCCCGGTAGGAGCAATACCACGATAATGTGATAAAACCTGCCGGGATTTGCCTCCGCTGGGCCTTTCAGTCCCGTCTTTGCTCATAGGTTTTGCTCTCCAGCCTATCACAGTCACGCCGTTCTACTGAAAGCCTGCACAGCTGTTTCCTATTACCTTCAGGCTTTGCTGCCCCCACTCTGCTTCTTACCCCACCACTTGGCTGGCCCCGTCTACACTCTTTATATTCCAGTTCATTTATCCATGCACTCATGCATCCAGCAAACACTTGTCCGGTGCTGATCACAAACCATGCTTGTCTCCAGATGAGAAGATACAGCCCTATGTGTAAACAAGGGGTACAGCGAAGAAACTGCTGGGATGGCCACTTCATGGTTAGGGAGAAAGTTTTTATTATAAATAAGAGAGAGAAGAGTCAGAGACATCTAGGGGAGTCTAGCCATGACTAACTTTCAGGGACAGAGAGAGGAGCAAAGAGAAGAGGAAGGGAGAGAAGGAGGCTGGCAATTTCCAGGGCTAAGGGAGCAGAGAAGATAGCAAAAATGGTGGCAAAGCCTTGCCAGTTATAAGTAGTTAGGCTGCGGCAGGAGGAGGGCAAGTTGGCTGGAACAGCCGGGAACTACTATGGGGCCTCTGATCGGCTGGTGGCTTGTTTGAGTTAATAGACAACTAGGTGCCCTCTCAGAAGATTGGGGGGCTGTAGGAGAAGATAACAAAGTCATGGCTTTTACTGGCAAACAGAAACCCACTCTACAAGGTTTCAGAGGAATGCTGAGTGTTTCCCGGGTCAGAGTCCAGCCTGAACTGAGCACAGACTGCCCCCTGCGCACTGGGACCTGACACGATGGCCCTCTGATTTTGTAGCATTCTTTGTATATGTGTGTAATCTACGAGCCCTCAGAGAGCGCTGGGTCCTGTGGAGAAACAAGCAGGGAGCTGAAGTGGCAAGGGCGCTGTCAGGTGACAGCTGGCCCGCTGGAGGGTGTCTGCACAGAGCTGGGGGAGGTGAAGTAGGGAGTCGTGCGGCTCTCTGAGAAAGAGTGTCCCAGGCAGAGGAGGTAGCTAGCTAGTTTGGCCAGTTATTACCTTTTCTGGGGCCTCGGTCCGCACAGGTGCGCCTTTTCTGTTTTCCTACTTGCTCTTGTGTTACCTCTAAGATAGCACTTACCTTTCAGGGTTTATCTGTGTGCACATGGTCTTCCCACCCTCAGTTCTCAGCTTAAAAGCAGGTGGCTCCTCAACACTGCTGTCTTGGGACTCAGAAATGTTGAATAAATAAAGAGGGACTCATTGGCTTAACTCTGCCACAACACTGCTGTCAGGGCACTCAAAAATGTTGAATAAATAAAGAGGGACTCATTGGCCTAACTCTTATGGGTTGCTGTTTATTATTTATTTTTATTTATGCAAATTATTTCCAAAATGGGCTTTGGGTGACATGATTTGAAAGAAATTAAATCCTAAACCTATTTTAGTCCCTTCTGTGGCCTCTGAGAAGTGGGACTTCTGGGCACTTTCCAAGAGTTTCTGGAGGTTTCCACTTTCTGTTATCACAGACCTGCTATCCTGGCACATGGCAGATAGAATATCGCAAAGACCCATGTAGCTGAGTTTGCAAAAACGTAATCTCCAGAGGGCTGGAAATAAGAGCGAACCCAAAGCCACAATAGTTATCTCTTGAGCTACAGTTAGCTGGTCACACATAAAAGTGTGGTTTTTAAGACACTTGTCCCAGCTGCCAAAGCTGCAGGTCCACCCAGGCTACAGCACCTGGAAGTGAGCTCACAACACCAAGAGGCACCCTTTGAGAATCTACACCCTCTGCTGTGTGCGCCCCTCACAGAGAAAACTATGGGTAAGACCTCCTCACACAGATGAGTCAGAAGGTTGTCCTTTCTCCTGGCCTTCAGGAGAGGGAGAGAACTTGCCTTGAGAATTGTTAACCGTGTTCTTACTCAAATGGGTTTGGTTTATAGTTATCTAGAACCCCAGGCCAAGAAATCAATGTGTCTGGAGAGCTGATGTATTGAATGAGGGAACATCTTGTTTGCTTTGGCTGCTGAGGCCATGATGCTGTCTTTGTATGAGAACGTGGACGTTTGAGCACATCCACAGCTCGCTGTGTCCTCAGCTTTGGACTGTTTGCTGTTCCCGCAGAGGTCATGGAAGGCATGCCATCCTACTCCACTCTGTTCCAGCAGGAAGACCAGCATGGGATCACCTACCGGATCCCAGCCATGCTCTACATCCCTCCCAGCCACACCTTCCTGGCCTTCGCAGAGAAGCGGTCCACAAGCAAAGACGTGGATGCCCTCTACCTGGTGCTCAGGCGAGGGGTGATGGATGGCCACTCTGTACAGGTAAGTGACTCCTCTTGGATAAGGACCTGGGACTCATCTCTCCTCAGAGCTGAATGCACTTCTAGCTCTGTCCCCCCTCCCCCCCCCCCCCCGCCCCGCACCACCTTTGCCAGCAAAAACCTGTGTGGGGAACTGAGGGGAAAATAATAAAAACAATGGCTTTTACTGAGCTATTTTGTGCCAGGATTCACTGAATTTTATCCTGGGCACTGTTGTCAATCATGTTTAGCACATGGGGGAACAGGGCTCAAAGAGTTTGTCATTTACTCTCAGTCATGCACCTGTAACCCAGCAGTAGAAACATACTTCAAACTCAGGCACAAGCTACCGAGGCCTCTGTGGTGCGTCCAGACCCTGCATGGCCTGCCGTTTGTTTCTGTGCCCTGATAGACCCACCCAGGGAAGGGAGCACCATTAGTTCAGCCTTCCTGAGGTCTTCATCTCCTAGTCTGCCCTCGTTCCTACTTCTCACAGCCTGAGGGGCACACTAAGTGGGTGTCTTCTCTGTCACGGTGAAGATGAGACTCTACTGAGCCCCCGTCCTGGCTCTGTGTGACATCGCTGCCCGTTTCCTTCTGAGGAGTTTGTACTGTGAGGGCTTTCCAGCCCCTGTTTGTACGGTACATCATCAGAGCTTCTCTGTGGCTTACCAGGTCAGACTCCACAGAGGCCAAGCCCGGAGGCTGACAGAGCCCAGAGTTCTAGGTGTCTCATTTGCTCTAGGACAGGCAGAGATCAAGCACCTTCACCTTCACGGACCACTCCCAACCCGCCCTGGTAAACTTTTTTGGCTGGTGTTGGAGATACAAATGCATATAATTTGGGTATTATCCAAAAGGCCCATTGTCTAAAAGGGGAGACAGTTACCAACAATATGCATACTGTCATAGCTGCTGTAACTCTTAGAAGAGTGAGTTTCAAGGAAGCCCCCAAAGGAGGGGACATTGGAGTTGGGTGTTGGAGATTGATTTGGAAGTCCAGATGCAGCAAAGAAGAACATTCTTGAGAGAGCACACCTTTTTACAATATCTAACATCATCTTTTTTCAGATGTAACTCCACCTTGTAATAGCTGCAAATTTTGAGATTATTTGGGCATTCAAGATCCTGTCCATTTCAATGTCATATATTGCTTGCAAAAAGAACTGGTGCTTTTAATGAGCCTGTGTCTTCCTATTAGTAACCCACTCCCACTATCTCCTTCTTCCCCTTGACTAGTGGGGACCCCTGCAGCCACTGATGGAAGCCACATTACCTGGGCATCGGACCATGAACCCCTGCCCTGTGTGGGAGCGGAATACCGGCCGTGTGTACCTGTTTTTCATCTGTGTGCGGGACCATGTCACTGAGCTTCGGCAGATTAGGTCAGGCAGGAATGCTGCCCGTCTCTGCTTCATTTGCAGTCAGGACGCTGGGTGCTCGTGGGGTGAAGTGAAGGACTTGACCGAGGAGGTCATTGGCTCAGAGGTGAAGCACTGGGCCACCTTCGCGGTGGGCCCTGGTCACGGCATCCAGTTGCAGTCTGGGAGGCTGATCATCCCCGCTTATGCCTACTATTTCTCATGCCGGTTCCTGTGCTTTCCGTGTTCGGTCAAAGCCCATTCCCTGATGTTCTACAGTGATGACTTAGGAGTCACCTGGCACCATGGCAAGCTCATTGGACCCCAGGTGACAGCCGAGTGCCAAGTGGCGGAAGTGGCTGGGAGGACTGGTAACTTTGTGCTTTACTGCAATGCCCGGACACCAAACAGATTCCGAGCAGAATCCTTTAGCACTGATTACGGTGACTGCTTTCAGAAAGCAACCCTGAACCCACAACTCTATGAGCCCGGCCGTGGCTGCCAAGGCAGTGTAGTGAGTTTCCAGCCCTTGAAGATGCTGCACTTGCAAGACCCAAGTGGTAAAGATGCGCCCGATACTCAGAAGCGCCCTCTGCTGGACAGTTTTCTGGAGCGGGAGGAAGGAGCTGCAACACCATCAAGAACGTGGCTCTTGTACTCACATCCAACTAGCAAGAAACGGAGAATTAACCTGGGTGTCTACTACAACCAGAACCCCTTGGAGGGGACCACGTGGTCCCACCCCTGGATCTTGCACCGTGGGCCCTGTGGCTACTCTGATCTGGCTGTTGTGGAAAAACAGGGCTTATTTGCATGTTTGTTTGAGTGTGGGCAGAAGCATGAGTGTGAGCAGATTGCCTTCCGTCTGTTTTCAGATCAGGAGGTCCTGAGCTGTGAAGTCTGTAACAGCCCTAGTAGGAGCTAAAGCCAAATCTAGACTGATGGGGGAGGACCCAACTTTCCACAGAAGGCAATGACAGCTACAGCCAGGATAACAGAGGTCTTTGATGTCTACAGAAAATTAAAAAACTAATATTTTGCTGCTTCCATTTTTTTTCACTTTTCCCTTTCCAATGAGCCTAGAGAAAATTGTGCCTTATCGTACACAGCAATAAGACTATGGAACTGGGAGTTTGGAGACCACGATGTGGTTTGGGTTCTGCTGCTGGCTTGCTTTAGGACTGTGGATGATGTATCCCCCGAACTCTCTGGACATCAGGTCTCCATTGTAAAATGAGAAGGTTGGTTTGTGACTTCTTGTCCTCCCATTGAAAGGAGAGACCGAGTGCTACTTCTTGTCCCTCAAACCCTGGAGTCTGATTGTGAATGGAAGTCAGAGACTTATCTTCTCAAATGGCTCACTGCTCACTTGAGTATGAGGTGACCATAGGTGCTTTGACCAGAAGATGTGTATCGTTCTATTTTTAATAAGGGAAATGCCCTTATCCTCCTAATCATACCCTAGCTCTTCAAGTTCTCTATCCTGGAAGAATTGAGAGAGCAGAACCATGAAGTCGGCTGCTTTCCCCGGCATTGTTGCTATGTTCAACCCCCCCCCCCCCCGCCTCCTCCAGAAAACATTTCCCAGGGAGAAATGAGAAATCCCTGCCAGCTGCCCTTGATAATGGTGCTGATTGCTTTTGATGCCATTAAAGATGAATATGAGGAGGGCTGAAAGATGGCTCCGTGGTTAAGAGCACTGGCTGCTGTTCTAGAGGACCCGGGTTCCATTCCCAGCACCCACATGGCAGCTCACAGCCGTGTATAACTCCATTTGCAGAGGATCTAATCCCCTCTGGCCTCTCCAGGTACTTCATGCACATGGTCCACACACACATACACACACACACACATACACACACACACACATACACACACACATACACACGCGCGCGCGCGCGAACAAAACTCCCATACACAGTTCTCGTGTTCCTTGGCTCAAACAGCTTTTGGCTCTCCATTGTTTGGTTACAGGGCAGCCTGGTGTGCAGACCTTGCAGGTTGAAAGTAACAAATGCATACAGACTTTCCTTCACTCTTATGTGAAGCCCACTGACAGGGAAGCCCACCCTCCAGGTGGGAAGGAAGAGCCGCCAGGGCCTAAGGGTGACTGGGGTAGGTGACAGCCCTGGCAGTTGGGGAAAGGAGGAGGGTGGGAAGAGAAGAGCCCCCCTGAGAGGTAGGACCTCATTGTAGAGCCCAGCTTTGTTCTCACTGTACTGCATTAGGGTAGACGCAGTGGCTGAACTCCATGGCTAGGGATAAAGGATGAAAAACAGCTTTGGGATTTATGTGGGAATATCCAATAAGGGAGTCAAGGAAGGGGATTGATTGCCTGCCCATGTGAATGCCACTTCTCTCGTTACCCTTCCTGACCCCTTGCTTTGGGCTTGTATCTACTTAGTGACTAGCTGTAAATCCTTTAACTGGGAAAAGGCCCATTGTGATCTTCTCAGAAAACGTAAGAAAAGAGGATCAGGGACTCAGGAAGTCTGAGATGAAGACTAAAGAGAGATAGAGTGGGTGATGGGAACTGGGAAGAGCAGGAACAGAAGATGGAAGACCCTGCACCTTCAGGAAGAGAGGCAGGTGTGAGGTTCCATCTTGTGGGGTGGTGTAGAGGGCAGTGCTGTAGGAGAATCATGTTGAAGCTGTTGTCCTGAAGCTGGCAGGAGGGGAGAGAGACCTGTGGAGGAGGTCCAACCCGAACCATTTAGCAGTCTTAGCTTGTTCGTGGTTCAGCTAAGCAACAAAGACAACTGTGGGCCCTCCAGCCCTGCTAGTCACCCAAAGTCTTCAGGGCCCTGGCATGTATCTCATGCTGTGGTAACAATTGCTGAAGCCACTTCAGCTGTCTTTAGGTTGAAAGAGTAGAAAAGACAGGGTGGGTAGTCACATTGCCAAGGGAAATAAAGCAGAAAGGAGGCCCGTGGTCTAGGTGTGAAGAGAAGCCCACACAGGCTCTGATCTTTTGCCTTCGTAGCCTCCCAGTCTGCTCCTGAGGTCTCTAGAATGGATCGGTACAACACAGTAACCCACCACTGGAGTTCCAGAGAATAGGCCTCCTATCCACGCAACCTCCTGGCCCATGTTCCTTCATAGTCACCTCAGGTTCATGCTGTTTGGTGCTGCATTAGGACCTGCATCTCTCGGTCATGAGTCCTCAGAGTGCCTGAGGATGTCACGGAGCTTCACAGTGAACCCTAGAACCCACAGAGGTCAACCTGAGGCTGAAGGGTTAATGGTCTCCATCTGGCCCTATCGGGCCATGTTGTCCCTCTGAACAGCTGAAGTCACATTCTGAGCCTCCCGTTGGTCCTTCCATGGGCTGCCAGGTGACACTATCTGTTGTGTCCTCTAGACGTCTGCTAGGAGGGGCGGAGGAACCCTTTTTCCTTTTTAACCCGGAATCATAATAACTTGTCTATAATATAGTTTTCCTGTCACATTCTGAATTCCCTGAAAGTAAGAGCTGTCTAATCCCTGTCTGTCCTCTGTCCCCAGCAAAAGGTCTGAGATGGTAGGCAGCAGGAAAGATAGGCTGAACGAATGGATGAGTCAGAGATCCTTGGCCACCCCTCTCCAGGTCCCCCCACGTTCAAACACTGCTGAGCCGTCACTGAAATGAATGCTGTGTGCACGCCAGTTTCCAGGTCCATTACAGTGCTTCCTGGAGCTGGGCTTTTATCTAGGTCGAGCCTGGTCTTGTCTTGTGAGATTTCCCAAGCCTAAAGCCAAGCTGTGGTGCGTGGGGTTCTCATTTCCCTGATATTTCCCTTTTGTCCATGATTGGACTTCCCATGTCTGTCACTCCTCCAGGATTCCAAGGGAGATGCTAAGCTCAAGTTTCAAGTGTGTTTTGTTGGCTCTGTGATGCCAGCACCAGACAAAACACTTTGTAGAGCAATGTACCATAAGCATCACCATCACTTAGAACAATGGCTCTCAGACTGTGGGTTGGGACCCCGTGGGGTCACATGACCCTTTCACAGAGGTTTCCCAAGACCATCAGAAACACAGAATTTAATGGCAGCAAAATTACAGATATGAAGTAGCAATGAAAATAATTTTGTGATTGGTCACTGTATTAAAGGGTGTCAGCATTGGGGAGGTTGAGAACCACTGACTTAGAACCGATAAAGATGCTTAAAGGTCTTTGTTCCAGTAATTAGTGATCTTTGTTGCTAAGGAAATGAAATGATTATCATCTTAATATCTATTAATAGTTCATATTCCACATTTTTTCAAAAAATAAATTTGAGGTAATTTTTTTCATGAGAATTTTTAACTTTAAAACTCTTCTATATTATCATTCTTTTTTTGGTTTTTGGTTTTTCGAGACAGGGTTTCTCTGTGTAGCAGTCCTGGCTGTCCTGGAACTTGCTTTGTAGACCAGGCTGTCCCAGAGCTCACAGAGATCCACCTGCCTCTGCCTCCCGAGTGCTGGGATTAAAGGCGCGTGCCACCACCAGCTGGTTATACACTGTTGTTTGGCCAGTGGGAAGGAAATGGCCAGGGATGCTTGTGACACTGCTGGGCTTGACCAACGGTTCCAGCCTGACTCCTAACATTCTCTCAGTGACTGTGTTTGCTTTCTGGAATTTACTTTTGGAAAGGCTTCTAGTAAGCCTAGCAATTTTCATAATATTGAAACTCTCCCAAGGACAAAAGTATGATCCAGAGAATACTAACTTACCTCTTCAACAGTTTCATAATAATTGTTTACATAATCATTTAAGGCAAGAAATCTGACCTATTTTATGTTTGCATTTCTGTTAGGATGCTCCACATTGGGCCTGTGGGCTTGAGGGGAATACTCAAACCTACACGCCTTGGTGGTTCAGTTTATTTAACTCATCTAATAGTTTATTAAGACTCATTAAACAACGAATAGCAAATTTGATCCTGACCCTTTGAGTGTTCCAAGCGCTGTAGGTAGTATTTGAAGCATGGCTAATTCAATTATTAGCCATTGTTCTAACAAAGTGGGGCACAAAAACCCAACAGCCTGGGCACATGCTTAACTCACCACCTCAAGGCAGCAAGAGGGCCACGGGGTAGATCAGATAGCCAGGGAGTCCTCAGCGGGCTTAGCGGTGTGGAGAGAAGTGGGGAGGGCGCCTTTATCCTGCCCTTGGTCTCTACCGCCCTCAGCATGGGCAGCATTTGGTGGCTGAATGCAGACAACGCGGTGATGAAGAAGGGAAGAAGACAGGCCCCCGGAGGAAGGCACTCGAAGTGGACTGCGGTCAGTGCCTGGGAGAGACTGCTGCAATCTCTGCAGCAGAGCAAGCCACACTTGTATTGCAGTTCCTCCCAGGAAAGCGTTTACTCTCGGGATCCCAGGATGGTAGAATTGTTTTCCAACCTCCCGAGAACATGCTTTCCAAGACCCTAAAGATGGGTTTTGTTATCAGCAACCGGGAAGAGAATCAGAAGTGAGAAGATGGATTCCCTCAAGGGAGAAGCATAGACGTGGATGGCAGTGAAGGCTGACGCCATGCCAGCCACGAAGCCTGGAGGCACCAGGCAGCTCTCAGAGCCAAAACTCGGAGTGAACTCTTGTTTTGTGCAACGCTACCTCTGCCTTTCTTCGTGGCTGGGTCAGTCTCTGGAGCTGTGTATAGTACCTACGTCTGAGCCTCTGTATGCAATTTGGGTGGTTCTGCTCACGTTATTCTGAACACATGCGTGCGCGCACACACACACACACACACACACTGCATTATTGCTCCAGCCTGCAGAGACTACAGAAAACGAGCCTCCTCAGGCCCTTACAAAGTCCTCCCCAGACACCCAAACTGCTGTCACCTGGATCTCTTACTTCTTAGTCTCAAGACCCGTGACCCACAAATTGCTGTGGTGCACGAACGCTTCAGTCCAGGGTGCTGTAATGAAATCACAGGAGGCTGAATGAAGGGAGAGTCTAAGTGACGCTTTCCAGCCTTGGAGCACACACAGGTCATCTCTGGAGAGTTACTTAAAAACAATTTCCAACCTGTCATCCCCATCATGTCTCCCTCTGGAGAACGGAATTTAGGTCTGGGGTAAATCCCTTCCGTTAGGGACCCCAGACTTGGATTCTTTGGGGTCAAGTCATTGAGAAATTGCTCTTCCTCCTATACTGTATGCCTGGTTAGAAAACTTTGTTGAAAATGAAGGCCTGGAGTTGGTTTATAGACAGGTATGGACTATGAGGGAAGGGGATTAAGTCTCTTAGTTTTCCTTCAGTTCCTCTTGTATAGTATGGAACTGATGAATATTTGTTGAATGAGTGAATGAGTGAATTAATGAATGGCCTCCAGTTTTAATCATTCGAGGAAGTACAGAGCCCACGAATTTGTGGATCCAAAGGCGGATCTTAGATAAGGTGAGCCATCCCGGCTCTTCTCGACCCTCCTTGACTTGGGACTTCATAGAATCGAAGTGACCCCAAAGAGGATATCTGGTAGATGAAGTAAAGTGAACCTCAGAGAGGTGCCACTAGCCAGACCCCAAACCGGAGCTGAGGGACGGCTTTGCCATTCCAGGTCCATGCCATGCTCTGTTGTGATTTGGAGGCTGTGTGGTTGAAGTGAGAATGACCCTCATAGCTGCAGATGTTTGATGCTTGGTCCCAGTTGGTGGAACTGTTGGAGAAGGATTAGATGATGTGGCTTT